TTTTAATCTCTCAATTTTAACAAATGAGCTCTTTATGTAAACAATTATTTTAATATATTGTTCTTTTTATTATTAATAATATTGGAATTTAATGTCAAAATTTAAAATTAATATTTTCATTTTTACGTAGATCTATGTTGAAAATAACGATTTTTGTTTAAGACCAATAGTATGTCCAATTAAAAAAGATACATATTGGGTTGTATTTTCTGTTCATCATTTGGTTCACTTAAATGAAGTACAATTAAAAAAATTTTTTAACTATGTAATTATCTGTAAAATATTTTACGGGAAACAAAAATTTTCTGAAAGGTAAGACAAGTATAATAATACAAATTAATATTATTCAAATATGTATTTAATAATTACGAAGTTATATTTTTAATTACATAATAAAAATTATGTAGTCTATGTATATATATTTTAATTTAAAAAATATTACATTAGATTGCTATTAAATTATTCATGCAATAGTACTGTTTAATTTTATAGTATATTTTTATTATTTCAGTCCTTTCATTTCTTACATTTTTTTTATTTCATAGAGCAAAAAAGGATAAAGTAAAAAAATTTTATATAGATAATAAATCCACAAATGTAAAACGAGAAGAATTTCTTGAATTGTATCATTCCAATTCAACTAAACGTTCAAGCCCGTCACTTTTACAAACTATAATTACGGATGAAATTTATGGCGATTTTAGTATGACTACATATTTTGATGTAATTCCAGGTATTAAAAAATATAGTTTTTATACAAACAAATAATTTGAAGAATATTGTACAAATAATTAACAAATTCATAAGAAAATTAAAATTTTTAAAATTTTTATTAACATTCATATTTTTTAATAAAAATTCAATGAAAAATTCAAGACAGTACACACGAATATTTATTTCGAAAAATGTTAAGAAAAGGATGTTTTCCAATTGAGACTTTAATGTTCGGATTATTTGATATAAATTCAATTAAAAATGAAGTGAAATCGTCATCAAAACGAGTTAAAAAATCTCAAATCAAAAAAAATAAAAAAGAAAAACAAAGACTAGAAATATATGAGATACGTTTACCGGCTGAAGTTTTGTTTTCTGGTAATTTTTACACTTCATATATACTTCGTCTTCTTAGATTTAATTTTTATCAATTTGATATGATCAGATCAGGATTGAACATAATTTAATTTTTATCAATTTGATATGATCAGATCAGATTGAACATAATTTAAGCATTCATATATAATGTTATATATTACTTATCAGAATCCAATGATTACTAAAATCTTATGTTATATATTTGTTACTTAGACCATGGTTTTTATTATTATTAACCAATTAATGGGAAAGCATTAAAAAAAAAGTTATAATACACTATTGAAAAAAAATAGCAGAAAAAGTAATATTATAGTAACAGGGGTAATAATTTTAATTAAAATAAAAAAAAAGCATGTGAAAAATAGAAAAGAAATAGCAAAAAGTATATTCTCCCCGGCGGGGAATCGAACCCCGGTCTCCCGCGTGACAGGCGGGGATACTGACCACTATACTACCGAGGAAGAGATGATTGCAACATTTATTTTAGTGGAAGATATTTGGTTTTATTTTAGTAGTAATATATACAGAAAAAGTAGAAGAAAAAAATATCGACATATTTTTATTTTACTTATAATCGTAATTGTTACATTCATTATTAGATAAAAACGATTAAAATCAAAAGACTAAAACTGACTATGAAAATAAGCAGCTAAAACCGTGTATTAAAAACTAATAATTTAAACTTAGAAAATTGGTTTCACAATTGGAGACTATATTTGAAGATTAGAAACTATATCTGAAGAATAATAACTTGTTCTAGCTTGCTCTTGTCCGAGCAACTTTTGTCCGAGATTAAGACCATGAATAAATAGCCCCATTCTGAATTTTGAGATTTATGATTATGCCATCTCTTCTAGGAATTACAAATTCCTCTCAATCAAGTCATTGAATTTTAGTTTTCCTCCTAAACGTGTATCTTCTTTGTGCAATTAATATTAGCACAAATTTCCTTTAATTATTCTAAAGAATAATTATAAAATCGACGTTTATTCAAAAGGGCTGCAGTTCATCGTTCGAGAACTCGCACCCTGCCGAGCATTATTTGTTCTTAGGCTTATGTCTCCTTAGGAGAGATCTTTTACATCTGTTTTATGTTTTCCTTTCCACGTGGATTCTATGCACTATTGAATTCCTTTACATTGTCGTAAATTAGAATTTAGTAAAATTTAACAAAGAGAATATAAAGTATACAGTCTTTAAACGTTTGTTTTTACTGACGACACCATGAAAAATACCGGTTCACTGCATTGTGTATTTCGATCTTGAAACAATCTATCCTTTTGTCAATACAATACAATTATACTAATTTATAGCACCCTCAAATATCTATAAAAATATCAAATAGCTATAATTTTTTTGTGGTTTATTTTTTGTTATTTTTTTTTTATACAGTTTTAATTAATTATTTCTTAGCTTTATCGTGTCAAATTACCACGTATTTAAAAATTATATCTCATCGACATTAGCTTTCAAGAATGACCGAAACAAAAAAATTATATCATCCATACCAAAATTACATTTGTATAAGTTAATACAAATTTCTTATTAAAAAATTATCGAAAAATCTAAAAAAAAAATTCATAAAAATTATTAAATTTTACAGCGTTCAGAGAAGAATGTCCTCTTAAGTCCAATATCTGTCTTAAGTCTTAAATATATAAACTCGAATATTAAATAATTCTGCTAATTCAGAATGAAAACTAATTGTAACTTTATTTTTAGATATGGGAACAATTACTATTTATAATCAAACACCACAACTGCCATGTATTTCATCCATCTTAATGTATGCACAGTGTCAAAATATTTTATCAGACAAACAATTACGCATGAATTTGAATCCTATATCGATCAAGTTGCAGAAACTATCGAATTTTCCAGCTGATATAATAATTGAATACGGTTTCAAATGTTTATATTTGAAAATTTTTTTCGTCGATCGTACAATTGTTACACCATGCTATATTCCAGAAAGAATTATGTATTTCGAATTTATTAAGTGTTTCCTCTGCGACGAATTTCAACTAAAAGAATTAATGAATTTTCTTACGACAAAATTTCTTACTATCGAGGTAATTCGAAATTTCGTATATATAATGGCAATTTTTAAAGAGGCATGTTTTAATTTTTAAGAAACGTATAATTTTTTAAATTAGGTAATTGGCATTCGAATTATCGGATCGTTAGCTTCTACTTCCAATCGATCCGATTATGAAAAATCTATATCGAAATCACCAGAAGCACCTAAGAAAGAAGAAATTTTACTGGGAGTTGTTGAATTTGATGTATCTGATCTTTTGAGAGGATTTTGGGAAGTGAAATTGACAAATAACTTAATTCATCCTCGCAATAGATTTGTTATCAATACTGACTGCAAAAATAATGAGACAATGAAGATTTCGTGGGAGAATTCACCACTTCCCACAGATATTTTCACCTTGTGTAACACATCGATGAAAATTAAAATTCGTCCAGCATATGATCTACGAATAGTTCAAAAAAAAATCGTTCAGGATGAAAATACGTGGAACCGGATTTTTTTAAATTTGAACAATTTGGAATTGGCTAATGACATCTTGAAAGACGTATCTTTTTATAATTCTAACTTGTTGACCATTTATGAGTCGCCGAAAGAAAGCAGTAATTTAAAAGTAAAATTTTAAAATACTTTCAAAAATATTTCAACTACTTTCTAATATAATATTAATGCGAATTAATGATACAGAGTATATTGAAACATGTTTTAACGGGTTTTGCTATCGAAAACTGCGGGAAATGCTACATTTTTATAGAAGGTTTGTCAAACGGATACTTGTTAAAAATTTGGGAGAAAGTAAAAAAATTTCCGATTCAGCATAAATGTATTTATTATAACAGCAATTATATATTTCTTGCACGGCTTTATGAAGATTTTATGTTTTCTGGCACAGTTATCCATATCAAATTAAGGTAAATAAATTGAAAACAACTAATATGCAGTTGTTTATAGAACTATTTTAAATTTTATTACATACCTACTTTAAAGTTTTATACCCCTATTTAACTATCTTTTTTTAAATTACTTTAAATTTACATTCTAAATTTTTATAATTACATTCTAAATTTTTATACACAATGTACAAGTTCACTATAGCGAAAATATTTATTTTGTTTAAAGCGAATCCTTGGAAATGCAACTTCGCAAATGTAATTTATATATTGGTAAAACAAAAGCAACACTTCAGTCAAATGTTATAAGAAAATTAGGATTGATGAATCTAACATTAACGATGAAATCTTTATGTCAGACACGTTTATTTCCAACACCAGATGATGTAAAAGCTTTTATTGATGATATACGAAAAATACACAACTACGGTATAAATTTAGGGTTCCAAATTTGAATTGTGCGGTAAAACACATATTACACGTATGTACACAAATATTTGGAAAGAGTCTCAAAAGAAATTGTATTGTAAAATATTTAGAAAATATGAAATATCAATTGAAATTAATTTTAATTATAATTTATAATTATTGATATATGTATATATATTCAAATAAAAACATTCGACAGCACACTATAATTAATTATACCGGTTAACTAATAATAATAAAAAATAACAATGTTAATACATAATTATTTCTTGTTATAATGATTTAATAATAAATTAGAGAAATTAAATTTTAAATATACAATTGTTAAAGTTTAAACATTATACAAATATACAACACAAATTGCATCAGATATTCTGTATTGATTGCTATGTAATATGCGGAGGGTAAGTTTTACAGGTGTTAATATATCAGTTACATTGAATAACAATTAAATTTTTATTGTATATTTACTTTATTCTATATTTACTCTTAGATTTACTTTATTTAGAAATTCTAAACATAACGTTACATAAGACTTGCAAGTCAACCTTTAAGGTACCATAAGACACGTGTTTTTCTTCAATTTAACCTGTATGTGCTTTTATATAATAAAATTTTACAAATAATAAAAGAAATTATTTATAATTTCATTTTTCAGGTATCATAAATAATCAACAATATGTTATATTAAAGTTTGCTATATATTTTTATTAAAAAGTTAATAGACATTTTTGCTTTTAGATCATGCACATCCAAAAAGAAATTCAGAAAATTGATATATATAGATAATAGTTAAATATTTGCATTTTATATTAAACACTGATCTATCATTTGATTTTCTGGAAGAGAAATCTCATTATTATTATTTAATTTCAAAAATTTAACTTTAATAAAGGTATACTAATTTTTAATAATAACATTGAAAATAGCAATTTTATGAATTAAAATAGTAATATTTTTAAAATTTATTATTTTAACGATCTTTTGTATATTTATTATTAATTTGGAACAACATTTTATATAAATATTAAGTTGTTTTATATACAAACTGTGTACACATATAATAATACATGTATGTATAAATGTATACATATACTACGTTATATTTTTTTTATAACATGTATATATATGAAATAAAGATAGCATATTATATCTATACATTCATACATACGTGTATTATTATTAATATTTTGCTCACCATGTTTATTTCATATAGGCAAAATGGTTTCTCAGATATTTGATGAATCTCCAAAAGAAATACAATTAATTAATTCGGATGATGAATGTCAAAGTTATGTACAAACTAATAAACAAGTTAATGATATCAATAAAGTTCAAATGAAAAAACAACTTGGCCTTTTGGAAGGAATTGCAATTATTTTAGGAATTATATGTGGTTCAGGTAAAAATTTGTAGTAATTTATGTTTAATAATTTTTTAAAATGCATTTTTTAATTTTTGTCTAATTTATAATAACAAAATTCTGCAATATACATTTTTAATATAACTAATTATTCTGCTTATAGGTATTTTTATTTCTCCAAAAGGTGTAATTATAGAAGTCGGAAGTGTTGGAGTTTCTTTAATTGTTTGGGTTTTATGTGGTTTACTTTCTATGATCGGAGCATTATGTTATGCTGAATTGGGTACTTGCATACCTCGTAGCGGTGGAGATTATGCTTATATCTATGAAGCTTTTGGTGATTTACCTGCATTTTTGTACTTATGGGCTGCTAACTTAATTTTTGTGTAAGTTACTTTTGTGTAAGTTACTAAAATTGTCAATTTCATTTAGAAAATAATTAATATATTGTTTTATTTCTTTATTTTCAGACCAACTACAAATGCTATCATGGGATTAACTTTTGCTGAATATGTTTTGAAACCATTTTTTCCCAATTGTTCTATTCCAGATAATAGTGTACGTCTACTGGCAGCAGTTACTATTTGTAAGATGTTTTACTTGCATGTAACATACAGCTATTTTCTTTTTCAAACATTATTCTTTTATGTTATAAGCTTTTATATTATATAATATGTTATATCTTTATTATTATTTTTGCAAAAAAAAATATTTTTCATACATTTTTATTGAGCAGTATAAGTAACTTATCATTTTCATAATTTCAATAATTTAATAGGTTTACTCACATTCGCAAATTGTTATGATGTCAAGGAAACATCTAAAATACAAAATGTATTCATATTTGCTAAAGTTGGTGCATTAATAATTATAATTATCGCTGGATTGGTTTGGATAATGTTAGGTAAATATAATTTTAATATATAATCAATTTATGAAATTATATCATTTATATTATTCAGTTATGCATGTATTAATAATTTATTTCAGGGCACACAGAAAATTTTGAAAATGTCTTTGAAAATACTATTACGGATCCTAGTAAAATCGCAGTCGCTTTCTGTTCTGGTATATTTTCGTATTCTGGTTGGAATTACTTAAATTTTATGACTGAAGAATTGAAAGATCCTTATGTGTACGTGATATAAAATAAAATAAATCATATTTTTTATTTTTTTAATAGTGAATAAATAATTTTGTTTTATAGAAATTTGCCACGAGCTATATATATATCATTGCCTTTAGTTACTTTTATATATGTATTGGCAAATGTAGCTTATTTATCAGTTTTAACACCAACTGCCATGATTGCCTCTCATGCAATTGCTGTGGTTAGTATTATTTTTTATACATTGACTTTATTTAACAAACTGTAATTATTCATATCTAATAATATGTATTTACTAAAGTACTATTGAAGTCAATCTTTATTAGACTTTTGGAGATCAACTTCTTGGTATGATGGCATGGACAATACCTGTTATGGTAGCTATATGTGCATTTGGAGGATTAAGTGTTCATATTATGACATCATCTCGAATGTGTTTTGTTGGTGCCAGAAATGGACATTTTCCTTCAATGTTAAGTCATATTAATATTTCAAGACTTACACCTACACCTGCTTTAGTTTTTCTTGTATGTACATATACATATAAAGAACGTATTTTATTACATATTTTAAATTAATGTTCATTAAAACATAAACATGTTTCTTTTTATTTTTAGTGTATATTATCTTTAATAATGCTATGTACAAGTGATATTTTTGTCCTGATTACATATTGCAGTATAGTCGAATCATTTTTTATAATGTTATCCGTAACTGGTGTTTTATGGCTTCGTTACAAAGAGCCGAATATGAATCGACCAATTAAGGTAAGCAATTAAAAAATATATTACTCTACGCTCTCAGTAAATATTTTTATTAAAATTATAAATATATTTTGCAGATGCCTTTATGGATCCCTATTACATTTGTATGCATATGTGCATTTTTAGTATTTTTTCCTTCTTACCAAAGACCATACGAAGTTGGAATAGGCGCCTTAATAACTTTGTCTGGAATTCCAGCTTATTTTATTGGTGTCAGGTGGAAAAATAAGCCATTATGGTTTCAACGACTTATACGTATGTAATATCTATATATATATTTTTAAATATTTAATTAAATTAATTTAAGTTGGTGCATTAATAATTATAATTACTAATTTAATTTAATTAATATTTAATTTTTAAATATATCTATATATTTTTGACTATATGTAAGGTTAATTCTCGTATTTCTTATATTTCAGTAATTTTATGATTTTTACTTTTACAGTTGAAATCACTTACACCGTACAAAAATTATTCATATCTGCCATCGAGGAACGAGATTACTGATTTATATATTGCGAATAAAAACAATTTAGTGTTGCGTTGAACTTTGGCATTTCATTCTGATATGAATTATATTTATGATCATTTGCGTATTGCTAACACCAAGTGACTTTGTTCTTGGTAACCAAAAATTTACAATATATACATATGTAACATAAGTGCGAAATTGCTCTCTGAAGTGTAAGATAATTATTTATAATTATTATTTATTTTGAGGAAATTTTCTCAAATCTGATTTACATATAGAATGATTTAGTTTTCTAATAATCGCATATCTTTTTATGCGAATACAGTTACAAAATTATACAATATTTAAAAATAAAAAATTTTCTTAGAAGTATTCATATACATATTTTCTAAATTCTATTTAAATAAGCGTTATTAATCTGAATTAATTATTAAATTTGAGTAAGTTTTTAAGCAAAATATATAATAATGTAAACTAATATTTTTGAAGCAAAATGTATTATTATATTGATATATAATAATATCAATTATAGTCTTTGTGATACAGATCATCTATGATAAAAAATTTATTTAAAGCTTTTTTAATATAATAAAATAATTTTAAAAATAAATTATATAAATCAAAACTTCAATCAGTGTTTGTAACTGAAATTAATTGAAAAATAATATGACAATAAAATTTTCTGTTTATTAGATAACAACAAAAAATCTTTATACACATACAAATGCGTATATCCTATTTTTATATCTTTTGATTACTTATTAATAAATTACATAAATCAACAATTTCTATTATAATGAGCTTTAACTAAAATATATTGTATTTTACTATATTTATTTACATAATCAAATTTTATATATGCAACATCCAGTAGAATATGCTTCTTTTGTTTAACATCAGTTTAAAATTTAAACAATATTACATGTCTGTATACAACAAAATTTGTATCATGTATAAAGAAATTGAAATTTTGAAATGTAAAATGATGGAATGTTATATCTAATTTTTTTATGCAATCTATAATGTCAACAGCATTACATATAGATATTAACAACGGCATTACATATAGATATTAACAAATACCAAAAAAGTCATCAAGTTCATATATACAGATTAATGTATATCTTCTGGATTAAACATTCCCTGTGAAGTAAAATTAGAATATCTAATTAATAAATTGATGAATTTAAAGTAAGCATGATAAGTAGATTATATGAATATTGTTTCATATAGATAATTAAAACAATATCTTTAATAAAACAATAAACTATATAACTATAAAATCATAACAAACTAATAACTTTTCTTTAAATATATTTATTTTAAAATATTTAATATTTAAAATGATTCTAAATATTTTAGATATTAATATAAAAATGAAACATTACAAATATTCACAATTGTGTCTTCTCAAAAATTAATAGAAAATAAATAAATAAATAAATGAATATTTTTATATTAAGTATCATTGGTACCTTAGCACGTCTTAGAATAGAATCCTTACTAGCATCATATGGATGATCTTTACTTGGTATTTCTAATACTGATGGTATAGGTTGTGTATGGCTATCGATTACATGACGAATCATTTCAGCAACCTTAAATAAATTATTAAAAATATCAATCATATCATTTAATAATAATCCGTTTAATATGATTTTAAATAAATATGTGTATGATAAAAGTTTGATTGTCAATTTTATAATTTTATAAATGATGTAAAAAAATTAAAATTTAGTTATTAAATATAAACTATTTTTTAAAAAATGAAAAACATTACTTTTATTTTATAATGCATTACATTTATAGTTTAAAAACTTATTGTTATTTCATGAATAGATATAATACTTACATTTTGATTGATAAGTATAATATCAATATCATCTCGCTTAATGAAACGTTTAAATGTATCTTCTATGTCACTCACAGCTGTGTCTATAAAGAAATATATATATATATATATACACATTGAAAATTTTACAAATTTTTAAACATTAGTAATATTATTCGACAAAGATTTTAACATAACATTTAACATGTAATTAAATGAAAAATGTAATATTTAAGTTTTAAAAAAACTAAAATTTTGTAACACACTTACTTTTATCTACAACCATAAAATTGGGTTGACGATGTTTATTAATTTCACCAACTCCACCCAAAAGAAATCCAACGCAAGTATCCTAAAACGAAATTTTCATAAATATACTTTTGAATACAAGATAAATTTGAACCTATGTTTCAATCAACCTCATCTCCGATCACAGCAAGTAGTTTGCCTTTCCCCGCAGAGTGAAGAGCCATTATTATCAATAAATGAAGATTAACAAGTTTAAAAAAAAATTATTAATTTAACAAATCTTGATATATCAGCTGACAAGTCACACCTATGTGCTTAAGTTACTTAAATATCACGTGCTAAACTTGTCCAATCGAAACGGTACAGTAACTGGGGGATACTGAAGTTTAGAAACAGCGAATTCTGAAATAGGCTGGCGTCCTACCAGTGCATAATATAGCTAGATATCTATGATCCCTTTATCTTTTTCCTACATTATCGATCGAAAAAAGATGCAACAATATAATATACCAATAGTATATAGCATGCACTAGAAGATGATTTCAAACATGTAAACTGCATGAGATATTGTTTTACACATATCAAATCTTTTAATTTATCAAGCTAAATTTTCATTAAGATAGTTATTTTTAATTATTTTGTGCACTAGCTTATAAGAATAAAGGCACACAAATTCATAATAATGAGATTAAAAGCATTTAAAAATTCACCCAAACCGTATGACAACTTTAAGATAGTTCTATGTGCGTAACGCGTAATGTCTAGGGTTATGTTTCTGTATGTGTTAGAACATGAGTGCTGTGTGTGTTTGATATTAATTATATGTATAAATTGGAAGACGGAATATTGTGTTATATTCTACAATTTCATGCACTGTTTTTCATTATATTAAATATGTAAAAATATAAAAAATAAGTGATCATTAAAGATATTTCTTTAAAACTCGATATACGATTCTGCAATTATTACTAATTATGTTATTTAGGTTATTATGTTATGGAACTTAAAAAGTTGTTAAAAAATCATGTATTTTCATATTATATTTATATAATATGAGAACTCGTAACATACATATCGATTTGTGTTAAATCTAAAAAAGAGTGCGCGTTTAATTATCATTTGCTGTTAATAAAATCTCTAACTTGTAAGTCATGACTATTACAATGAGCATAACCCTAAGTAAATATCTGTATTGATAATTTAGATGTGTTTTCTTATATATGAAATGACCTCCGTAATATTTAATTCTTAATCAAATAGTATAAATATATCTTTTAATATATATTTCTAATATATTTTAGGAATTACATTTTTTTAACATATGTACTTATTGATTAAGATTAGATAATTATCGGTGAATATACAGAATAGTATAAGAAAAAATGTCAATAAATAATGCTAATATTTACAAAAAAATGGTTTCTCAAGAAATCATACAAAAACCATGTATAAATGAAACTTCCGCAGAATTTGTGGTTTTATCCAAATGCGAACATCCAGAAGAGACATTGGTAATAAAATAATTAATACTTAAACAAATTTAATATAGCTTTTATTATATATTTTTTATTTACTATTTGTGTACTTATACATTTTTAATTTATTTAATTAATTATAAATATTATGTACAGGTTGTTGGTGAAGAAATAATTGTAAATGAAAAAGATACTTCTTTTGAAGATGATATGAATACAACAATATCTATTGAATACACAGAAAATCCTACATCGTTAGCTACAGAAAATGCAACTAGTCAAAAGTGGTTTCCAAATGATGTGAATAAAGAAGATCTATTGGTAAATATTATTAAATATTCAACATTTTATGATAAACGATTAGAATACGATTAGATATATGATGATGATAATGTAATATTGTGATATGGTAGTTATCAGAATCAGAAGAAAGTGAAACAGAAATATATACTAAAGTAGCAAATGATGATCAAGATGTAGATGAAGAAACGATAGCCACATTTGTAACTGCTGCTGGTCAACAATTAGCATTATATGCAGTTGAAGACTCAGATGAAATTTTTGCTGTAGCAGTTTATGATGAATCTGGTGAACCACCAACAAATTTTCAATTTCTAATGAAGTATGTTTATTTATATGTTATATATCAAGTACAGTTAATAAATGTAATTCAATAATTAGATGATAAATAATAAAATGATTGTATTTACAGAGCAGATGTTGAAAGATTAATAGGTGAAGGTGCAGTTAGAACTGTTAAAAAACCAACACAAATAAAAAGACAATTACTAACTACTCAGTCGCCAATATTTTTTCCTAAAAATGAATCAACAAATGATATGTCAATGAACAATGAAAATAAAATTACATCAAATGGGAATGAAAGGATACAAGAAAAGGAGTACGTATTGGAAGAAACTCCATCTTCAATGAAAAATTCTAATTTAAATTTAGGTGTGAAACGAGTTCCTAACATTATATATGCAACAGATGAAAAACAGCCAGATGTAACATACGTGATGATGGATGATTCTGTAAATATGGGTATGTATCTAAAAATAATAATTATTAAATAACTAATATTTTGAAATTTCAATATAATGAAATTTCAACTAAATTTCATTATATTAGTTATTCAATAATTAATATAATGAAATTTCAACTTTCAAATTTCAAATGTTAAAATGTTAAAATTTTTAACAGACAATTCTGAAGATTGTGAGGACGATGATAAAAGTGATGATGAATTTATAGAACAATCAACTGTACAATATATTTTATTTGAAGGAGATCAGTCTGATTCTGAATTAACATTCGACGAAATTCACAAAACTCTTCAAAATTTAAAATCAAATGCGACAAAAAAACAAATGAATAAAAAAACAATTAGTAAAGATCAAAATAACTTTGGAAATATTAAAGAAACGGAATATGAAACTTCAATATACCAAAATTCTAATATGAATAATAGGATGCCTAATACTTTAACTGAAAGAAAATTAAATCTATTAGATAGTCAACAGGAATTATTAGAGACATTAGCAAATTCATCAGCAGATTTGATATCAAGTAGTACAAATTTAGATATTTCAAATGGTTCAATTGAATATACGTCACCCGAGTCATCACAAATACAGTATAAAACTAAACGATCCCGAAAACAACAATTAATTTCCGTGAATCGTGAAGATTCAGAAATTATTATACAACCAGCGTCTCTTGTAACTGAAGAAGACAATAATGTTAGGAAAAGAGTAAGACGAAATAGAAGAGTTGTGGCTCATTCTGGATATCATCGAAGAAATAACAACTCAAAGAGAATGAAAAGAGTGAAACGAAAAGAAGTCGAAATTATTGAAATTGATATTGATGAAGAAGAAAGTATTCTACAGTCAGAACGAGAAGTTGTTGAAATAACTATAGATGATACTAAAGATAAATATTCTAGCGATAAAGAAAATGAAATTATAATGGTTGGAGATTCCGATGACGAATCACAACAATCGAATTCAAAAACAATTTTATTACAATGTCAACATTGTTTAAGAAATTTTAGGCAACAAAGAGCTCTAGAAACTCATTTACGAGTTTGTTCAAAATCGCCATCTAATGCAATACGGTTTAGTGAACAACAATTGAAACATGTGAATGGAACGACTGAAGATACCGTTAAAAAACAATACGCTTGTAAAATATGTCAACAAAAATTCGATGTAGTGGTAGCATTAGCTCGTCATGTACGTTCAGAACATTCTCAACGGAAAAAACGTAGATTTAGTAAATTATCTGTTGAACGACCATCTATAGAAGTTAAAGAAAAAAAGGAACGCATTGAGTCAAAAAAACAAATGACTATGATTAAAAAAATTAAAAGAAAAAGAAATCAAAGACCAAAATGCACTTGGAAAGTAAAAAAATTAAGTTGTTCTGATTGTGGAAGATGGTTCCCCAGTGTTGCCTTATTAAGAGCACATTGTTTACAACATGGAACAAAGAAGTCAGGTAAATTATTTTTAATAATTTTAGTAATTTACTATGAATATTAAAATAATTGAAAAATATTTATTGCAGAACAACAAATACGCAGATGTCAAATATGTAAAAAATTAATTAGATCTAGATTACTTTTTGTACAACATTTGAAAAAACATAAAAATTTAGAAAAAAATATAAAGTCTATACCAAATATTCAAAAGAAGTTACATACTACCAGATCAGTAACAAGTAAAATTACAACGCTTAGAAAACGAGGTCGCACACGAAAACTTTGATCTCTTCAAACATCAACATGTGAAAGTTCTAGAAATTGGTGATATATGACAAATATTGTTACTATTTCTTCTAATGTGAAATATGTATAATAATATGTTTATACTTCCAAATAAAAATTGGAAATATTTATATGTTTCTTCAGAAAAAATAATCTTTAAATTGCATTAGATACCTAGTTAAATGTGTATATCATTTAGTTATGTAATGTATATTATATATAATTTAATTATTACACATTTGCAGTTTAATGATTATATTGACTAACTGATTGACTTTATTCTTTTTTCTGATCATTCAATTCTTTAAGAAACATCAAGTGCCGAAAATTAATTAAATTTAGACAAATGTGAAAATATATAACATTGTATTAATAAAATGCTTAAGACAAGTGACATAGGTCAGTTTTTATTCAGAAATTTCATTGTGAATCATTGATATTTTCTCATATATTAACAATATTACTAATTACTGTAAATGATTGTATTAAAAGTACACATACATTTATGAAAATATACTCTTTTATATATACAGATTATTTAATTTACCAAACTTTTAAAATTTTTCAAGTAATTTAAATCTATAATTCAATAAACATTTAGTTTGTAATAACTAACTATATTAAGTAATTAAAATATTCAAAGACACAAAGTCCTATCCATATATCTAAAATCACTGTCGTTGCTAATGACTTCGCGGTCGATGCGACTAAACTTTATACATAATGATGATGATAATAATAATAATAAATAAAATATTTATAAATACTAAATAAATATTAAGATATTTATAAATTAAATTCAGTATTAATTTAAAATTTTGAAATTTTATTGCTTATATTACTTAGCTAGTGAATGATAATTTTCAGATATCATTACAGAAAGTTTAAACTGTTAAATTTGATCTCTACTCAATGTAGCTTAATGAATATTCTCATTTAACAAAATAATATTTAAAAAAAATTTAAATAATTTTTTTATTTATAACGTGAAAATGAATTAGTTTTCCCTAGCTTTCAGTTATATAGTTTTATTTATCTGTTCTAATAGTTTTATTTACTCATAATCATGTAGAATATATGCTTTTTTGACCTTTAAGGAAGTAGAATATGATATCAGAACTTGAGTATTTATTTTGCTTCATGCGTTATATACGTAAAATTAAATGATTAAATTGCAGAATCAATTTTTGCACTTTATAATATAAAATACAATATAATGTAATAATTTTATAGTGAGATTATAATGATTTATTTCATGATATATCAATTTTTTTCTAATAAGAACTATTTGAATTTTTTAAAATGTATAAATTTATAATAACTTGTCTTTTTTATTGTATATGATTTTTTGATCTTCTAAATTAAAATTGGCATTAATTAATGTATGCGTTACTTGGAAAAATGTTGGAAGATGAAAGGAATGTTGATTTAATTGGTTATGTTTGATAAATCCAAACAATCATAAAAATTTACAAACAATATTATATAATATCGCATCTACCTCCTGTAATTCTATAATTTAGAATATATATACATATCGAGTCTATCAGAAATAACCAATCACTTGCATTTTTTCGTCTTCTAAATGAGCGGTATATATTGTTTTCGTCAGTGTTTACATGATTTAGGTTATAAACGTATTGATATATGTATGTTTTCAAACACGTATTGAAACAAAGAAAAATAAAAACAAGTGAAAAATATTGTTCTATTGAAATTATATATAAAAATGAATAATTCGAAGAAAAGAAAAGCTGCAAAAGCAAAAAACGTTAAGCAAAAAACTAATAACAGTAAAGTAACAAATAGTGAAATGATAACAATAAATCAGCAAGAATCGAAATTAAATACAAAGTGGACTAATAGTGATAAAAAAACATTATTAGAAGCTTTAAAAAAATATGGATCTGAAAATATTGAAGCTATATCAAAAATGTTACCAAATATAACTTTTGAAGATATTAGATGGAAAATTGCTGAATATTCTGAAATGGCAGAATACTTCTATGAACATAAATTAATAAACAACTGGATAAATTGTGGACTGTTTGAATCTGAAGATAGTTTTGTACCAGAAGCATTATTATTTATACATTTATTTGAAAAGCATCCATCTCCCTCTGAAACAGAAGATTTTGATTTTAGGTATGTCAATTGTTTGATTTATTTATAATAAGTTATTAATTAGGTTATAACAATTTATATATCATACTAATATAGTTCAATCATTAATAATTACATATGACCATTGTAGAGCAATATATAGCTTCCTTTATCGCTCGTGTCTGGAGCCAGTATCATATTTTGATTTATCACCAAAAGATAGAGATTTACTATGTATTTTGTTATCAAGATTAGAACACAAGATATGGCCAAAACAGCAACAAGATATTTGGGAATATGTTGGTAATACATACAATAAAAGATATATAAAAAAAGTATATCCAGGAAAAAAGTTTCCAGGACAACTTTTATAACATTATAATTGTGTCTTCATTATACATTCATATGTAGTATGTATTTAATGTTTGAATATATCTTTTACTATAATAGAAAAAGATTTTCTTTATTTATATAACATGAATGAATACACATTTCTGTTTAATAAGATAACTTATTTTTTATGCAATAGATATCTTAAAAATATCTCATATTAAAGGTTACCTTATGTAAATTGTATAAGATGATAGAAACAAATGTTATTTTAAGAAATATTCTATATTGTAAATAATTACAATTCAAAATAATATACATTCACCTGATACATATTATTATATAAAGTAATTGTTCTACATTTTTTGTAAAAAAATTCTATGTATTTTTATCTATTTTTAGTTTAATGAGTGTATAAGTTACATAAAAATAATGACATAGTAAATAATATCATAAATGGTATAGTAAAACAAATGATCAAAATGACTAAATGAATTAATCAAATAAAATAAACATATAGTAACAATTATTCTTGCACTTTAATACACATTAATTATAAAGCAAAATTTGGAGTATACTAGCTCGTAACACGATGTTTATTTATGCTTTTGGAAACGTACAATATATACACGCTCGCACATATGTTTTAATTGTAAATGGCTATTTTTTTTATATGTATCTACATATATTCCTAACGTTAAAAAGTTAAAACGCAGAATAAAAATAATTTCACTTTAATAATTGCTGTTACATTGCTTTATACAAGTTCAAAATCTTTAAGATAAACAAGATATTAAAAGATTTTGAACATTGATAAAAATTTCCTAATTAATAAATAATAATTAATTTTTTAATATTTCCCATGCATCATCTTCAAGTTTTGAATCCCAGTTAGATGCATGATTGTCAGTATTAAAGTTGATCAATATTTCTTCTTTATCTTTTGGTTTTCTTGGAATTGGTTTAGTATCTGTTGTTTGGTTACTTTGTTTTGTGTCATTACCCCAATCCCATTCATAATTAGAAGAGTTTGCAGTTACATTAGTTCTAAAATAGTTTAAATTATAATTAATTTATGAAGTTGACTATAATGATTTAATGGTAATGATAAATATTTATATTTTATATATTTATTATAATAAAACTATTATTAACTCACTTAGGCTGTGATGTTTTCATTAAAGATGTTTTTTCAGTAGAATTATACTGAGCTACATCACTATTTTGGTAAGTAGTGGAAGAACTTTGATAATGTTCTTTTGAATTATATTGAGTTTGTTCAACTGAATTAGTTCCTCCAATGTCACCCCATCCTCTTCTTCCTAAATCTCCCACCTATTTTAAGACAATAAGTTTAATAATCAATTAGTTTGTGGGTTTATAATTAAAATTGCTGAAATTTCATCATTTCAAAAAGAAAATAAAATTTACTTATTACAATATTTAACAAGCACTATCAATAATAAAAGGATTTTAATATACAGCTATCTACCTTAGAAGCTATACTATTAGCTTGACTTCCAACTTCTTCCCAAAAAGTACCATCACGTACCTAACAAAAACAAAATAATATGGAAAACGAAAAATTTAATTGAAAACTAATATTACACTATATATAAACATAAATGCTAAGTGCAAAATAAATAATTACTAATTTTATTTCCCATTGAATAATAATTTAATAATTTATTTTATAATAAGAATATAAATGTAAATATAAATAGATAGATAGACCTTTTGTATGGCTAGCTCTCCAGTTCTAATAGCATTTTCTGTAGCTTTACTTGCTATTTTTGATGCTGATGAAGAAAGTATTGACCAACCCTAAAAAATTATATATTGACTTAATAAATTTTATATGTATCAATTGTATTAAGTATAATTGTTATCTTACACTTGCTAAAGAGGACACTGCATTGTCAAAAAGTTCTTGTGATGTACTTCTAGGTGGTGGATTCATTTGGTAACCAAATCCTCCATATTTGCCACCTTGACTAGGTGGAATATTGCTTTTAAAATATTCATAATATTTTATTATTTCTATTTTACATATTTTTTTATTATTTCTATTTTACATATTTTATCATAAAAGATTATTAAAATCACTTAATTATGTTTTTATCAAAGCTACAATTTAAATAACATTAATATAAAACTTACTCCGGACGATTAGCATTTTCAGTTTGTTTTCTTGCAAAGAAAGCTTCTGTTTGGGACTTACAATTATTTGAATTAAAATTTTGGTAAGAATTTGTTATATCACTTTGATATGAAGAATAGTCTTGTTGATTTTCTGAATACATTGGAGCTTGAAAATCCTTAGCTGTAGATGTAGTTGGACTCCAGCTTTCTCCACGTGCTAATGTTGCAATCTAATTATTTATACAATATAAAATTGCTTTTTTTCTGAGTTTTGAGAAAGATATTAAACATGGATTATATACTATTTGATTTGAATAATTTATAAGTTAAAAAATTATTTCAAAAATGTAATTTTATAGCAGTTTACATTTATTACATCCCATTTAAGAAAAGATTTGTTTATATATTATGATACAAAATATAGAAATTAATGATTAAAAGCAGCAAAGTATATTTACCTTATCTCTATATAATGCTGCTGCTTTAGTATTATACTTTTGTGTGATTGACATACTATCGTCCCAATCAGGCTGTAATTCAAAAAATTCACGAGCATTTTTATTCCCACCAACTCTCATTTTTTCTAACTCTAAGTCTTTCCATTTATCCATAGAAATGGATCTAACAAATGACAAATGTACTCCAAGTCCTCTGTGTTTGCCTGAACATTCAAGACAAATCCATATACCATATGTGACAGAAACCCACTGAGGATTGTGAGTTCCACATTCAAAACATTTCTGTAAAATAATAAGATTCAATTAACATATGGAATATTGTGAAGGAAATAAAATGAATAAATTACATTGTTTTCATCTTTTGGTTTAAGTTCACTTAGAATTCTCCGTGTTCTTGGACTAGCCATATTTTCTGTCGCTAAAACTCAAATAAAAAATCGTATTCAATATTTAATTTTTAAAAGTTCACCATACTATACTTGTCATAATCTCTAGGAAGCATATCCTAATTTGTTAAAGACAAGAGGCGAATAAAAAAGACAATTTCGATATGAATTACTTAAATTCTATCGAAAGAGTAATATAATAAATGTATTATTTATATGTAACCAAATTGAACATAATGTCACAAAGTTTAAGAAACTAATCATTTCATTGGATATCTCGCCTTCATAAGAAGAAAGTAGGAGAGTACTAACAAGTAATAGTAATAACTGAAGATTCAAATACGCGTGTTTCTAAAATATACCATTATAGAGCGTTAGATACCAACTATATTCTTTTATAATCATAAATACAAAATAAAAAAATATGTATCAAGCAAGAAAACGTTTACATCTATTTACATCAATAAAAAGAATTATTTTTAATTGATATATATTATTCGCAAGGAAATGTAGATTATAAAATATAAAAAAATTACAAAAAGGCGAACTCATCATTATTTTTTATTTCCTATTACAAAAATCTATGAAATAAATTTTGAAAATTTATCGCTATTTTATAAAGAACAAATAATTAAGCTTATACGCATGAAATTTTGCGCAATATATCGCTAATCTTTACCAATCAAATAATGAAACATTTATTTCATGTAAACTACGCTTACTTGTTGAAAGAGCGCATGCGCAACCCCACCCACTGTTCATGACAAATGCAACTTTTACTTCCGGTTGACTTCAGCTTCTGCACAAGGTTTTTTGGGTTTAGCAGTATTCTTGCGTCGTGCTTCTGTTATCCTACGTCATCCGTGAGTTTTCTCAGCTGCATTTGCACTTTGCAGTTCTATATCTCCCGGGGATATATTTTGTTTGTCGTATGTCCATCCAGAATCTCAACACATTCGGTAAATATTATATTTTCTATTTTGTAGTACTGATCATATTGTAGAAGATAGTTTTATCAAAATGGCGATGGCGTCTTTTGCTTGCATCATAGTACGCAATTAATGTTTAACAACATTTCTTTAGCAAGCTTTTCGAAAGTTATCTATTTTAAAAGAAGAATTTTTAACAATTAAATAAGAAATTTGATGAGATTTAATGTGAATAAATTACTTGGTTTTTTTCAGACCCCTTTGCAGATGCAATCAAGGGTTCAGATGATGATGTCCAAGACGGTCTCGTGCATATAAGGATTCAACAACGGAATGGTCGTAAGACCTTAACAACAGTACAAGGACTTTCATCTGAATATGACTTGAAGAAAATAGTGAGAGCATGTAAAAAGGTAACGAAATTATATTTATTTATAATTTTTGATAATTGAATTTTTTGTCAGTGTCAGATACTATGCTAAAAATAGAACTGATGCAAACAACTGTTCAGAGTTAAAATGTAATTGCATACGACATTATAAAGCTGTATCCATAGTAAGGTTTTTTTTAGAAAATTTATTTAATATGTTATTTTAATATATTTTTTCATTTTTTGAAATATTTATTTTACAAAATAAAATATTAATATATTTGACATGTTATATCTATATATTGTAAATATAATTTTTTAGTTATCTTAGCAGATATCTTAAATAATTGTTTAGGAAGTAACAGTTGTTTTTAAAAAATAATTATAAATAATACAAAATTATTCATATAAATCTTAGTTTTATTAAATTTTACAACATATTTATATTATTTGTTAACGCTACGTTGTGTTAACATTTATGTTTATTTTAAATTTTTTAAAATTTTGCTTTATAACATAAATTCAATTAATAAAATATGTAATAAATTAGAGTATTTTATTTCTTTAAGCGATTTTTATTTTGTTATTTATGTACAAATATTTTAAATAAAACGGCAGAAAAAAGCAAAATAAAATTATTTTTAGGAGTTCGCCTGCAATGGGACAGTAATCGAACACCCGGAGTACGGAGAGGTGTTGCAGCTGCAGGGGGACCAGCGAGAAAATATATGCCAGTGGCTAACAAAGTCAGGTCTGGCCAAACCTGACCAACTGAAAGTCCATGGTTTTTAACTAGCAAACACCCATGCCACTATCTAAGAACACTCCACCTTCATCAACACCTTATCATCTTAAATTATTTGTATCAGTCACTAATACTTGTTGATACATCGTGAGATATCCTATTATATACACGTATATATTTCAATAAAAAATATATAACAGTAACGATATAGGCACAATATTCTAATCAGACATTTGTAAGATTGTAGGAAGCAATATTTTACAGCCTTATGTTAGGTGTAATCCATTAAACTCATCACATTTTAAAGTAGTAGCGATAACTAATTAGTGATTTGAGAAAATACTTATACAAGGAATAGATACAAATAGCAACGGATGGCTCTTTTTTTTGGGATTAGGTAGTATGTATCTTGGCGCTATAGATGTGTTCAGAGAAAAGAGAGGGAGAGAGATATATATATAAAAAAAAATTATTTTAGGTCCCAGATTGGCTTATTGTGTGTAATGCTGAATGCTTAGTTTTGTTTATAGTAAGGGAACAGGCCTGGTTTTTTTACATTGTCATCTCCAAGTTTTGTGCCTTTAATTCCATATTAATTGTATTATTTATTGAAAAGATTGTCATTTATTGTAATGAATTTATTTTGAAGGAGAATTGCCAATTTTTTCTTTTTTTGAAGCAGTATTGACAACATAAAAATAACAATTGTTTTAGATAAAAATGTGGCTGTTCTAAATAAATGGTAATTCACCGCTATTTGGATTTTTCTTTTTCCTTTTTCACATAATTTTAGTGCTAAGTTTTTGAGAATCTTGAAATTAATAGTACTTAAAAAATGTATGTATTAAAATTTAGGAATGAATACAAAAATTAATAGCATTTTTGAAAAAAATTTGTTAAATTCTTGATAACAGTTAGATAAGATTACATTGATATGATCTTCAATCTTTTTTTTAATGGACTATAGCTGTATGAATTACATTTAATTGTTATTGTATTATAAAAAAAATAATTTTTAATATTTACAAAAAATAATATTGAAATTTAATATATTTTAATAAAAAGTAATGAACAATATATATTTTAATAAAAAAGGAATGATTAGATAGATAAAGAATTTATGCTTGCAGATTGCCTGTGTGTATCTGTATATTATGTATGAAATTCGTACTATGAACGTCTATAGTTATGTAGTTTTGTTTTTTTTTAATTATAGATACGTCAATGAATGTAATTTTATATTAAGTTTGAGTTAAGTTTAATTAAAGATTAGCAATAGAAAAGACAGTTACAATTATTTAAGAGGACTGTATTTACATAAATATATTAACATATTGACAGAAATTAATATAGAATTTCGAGTAAATGACTAGAGTAATATTTTGTGAAATGTTTCTAAAGATTTAAATTTACCGGGTATACGCGAGTCACGACAATCTAACCACCAGATATCACTATAGTCGAGCTACATACTACGACCCACAATGCACCGAGCTACGGCATGTGCCTTTCTGTGTCGGCCATTTTGTAGTTTCCTTGAGAAATTGTGTTGAGTTGATTCATCTTCTCGGTAAGAATTTTATAAAATTCTAAAACGGCGCGACTCACATTGATCCAAATGATGTAGAGGATTGAGGGCAGATGCTTATGGCTAACTATTCATAGCTTGAGAACGAGGAATAAGGTTGCGTTTTTTGCGCACAACCGTGTGCGCTCACGGTACTTACACCCGAAGAACGAGCCAGTAAACGAAGCTGCCAAGAACACCTATTGATAAAGGCACATGGAATCCGGGATTGTTTCGGAATGAATGGTGATTTCGGTAACGATATACGATACCCATAAGTGTACTGTCCAAGTGGTTGTCACCATATCTGCGTGCGTAAACGTGTTGGCCCGGCCAACGTCTCGCTCTATATTTGGCTAATCGCATCCAACATATTGCATATCTTGCCTTTTCAAAATTTTTACTTTTCATGCCGTAACCTTTTCCAAAGAACTATATCAGAAGGATACAATGTGACGTTTAAGTGTGAATGCTTGACGATTGCACATTGGTACTGAACAAGACCAAATCTTAGCATGTGGCACGGTTTGTACGATCAACATTCAATTTTTACTTTCAACAAAATCAGTGAAACAATTTCGTTTTATGATTATGATTTTAAAATATGTTTTACGGTATTTTTCGTCTTATACGTAGAATCGAGAAGTAATTATCCGAAAAATAGACATTTTACATTAACATCAAAAAAATATGGAATCTCTCTTTGTTATTACATTTATTGTTTCTTTATGGTTCGTCGAGATTTCATGTAAATAAATTTTGTCTAATTCAAATTTGTCTATATATACTCACGAGCGCGCGCGCGCGTGCACACATACACCTATGCACACGATATATATATCCATTTGAGTATGCACGTATACACCCGCGCGCGCGTGCGTTTGTCACATACAGAGAGCACATACACATATACATATACACATCATGCACACGACTATGCTATTGAACATAAGAACGCGCGCGCACACATTATACGTGCGTACATGCACATATACATCCTTGCTCCGTATATATGGATTTAAATACGCGTGTCGTGTGTGTATATGTATATATACACACATATACATAGATATTACAAATGTATTACATCAGACTAGTATGTTGTACATATTACATCTGTACTTCTAATCACATTTTTGGAAAGTATTTCTTTTCAATAAAATAATTTAATAGTGGAACATTACATTTTGTTTGTAATGTTTTGGAACAACAATTATCTAGTTTTGGAAAATTATTGAAAATTGTATTGTTTAAAAAATGATGGATTATTGTAATTACTTTATATAACTTGATGAATTATTGTATTATTTTATATGACAAGATAACTTGATACATACATGCTTAATAATATAAATACTACATTAGTTAATTTTTTTTAATGTAACAGAACATCAGGTTGTTTTTCAAGATTATTGATTTATTTGATTATGAAATATGAATCTAATATTATAATTGTTATATAGAATTATAAAAATTATAGAAGATAGATTTCTTATATTATTGTACTCATAATTACATATTTGTTTAATAAGACTTGACACAGTTTTATTACTAATGTATTAATGATATATTTGATTAATATATATTTGACTGTTGATTGTAATTATCTATTTTTGATTCATTAGATTAAAATATGCTTAAAAATAATTTTTATAAATAAAGTTCATATTAATAATTAATTAAATTCTATATTACATGTTACAATATGTGAGTATATTATGTATTGGGCATTGGTTGTTTTTATTATATATATAATAATATGTTAAATATTTTTGTTGCTAATTACATCTTGTGTTTTTCATAGGGTACGTGTACATGAATGGGGACATTGGCAAGCTCCCACCAGGGGCGGTCTATCCAGCCACCCCTGAACCTTTGGGTTCTGTTGGAGGTGCAGTTGGAAGTACTGCATCCAATCTGGAGTATAACATCATGAACGGAGTACCAAGTGGAAATGAATTGATATTGGAGGCGGGTGTTGGTAATTTAGAACCTTCACTGCAACATGCTATAGGTATAGGAGGTGCTGCAGGTTATGGTCCAGTGGATGTTGCTCCTTTAGGTGATGTGCCAAATCAGCCTGCTCCAATGGGTGATTTATCTGCCCCTGGTATACCATTGGAACAACTTAAACAAATGCTCTCTTCACAGCTTGAATATTATTTCTCCAGGTAAACCCTTAGTCTTTTTATTTAATATATAATTTTAATATTATGTAGAATTTTATTGATTATTGTTAATTTAGTGACATTAGAATAGTTATCGTATTCATATAATAATGTAATATAATCTTAATTTGTTGCAACTTTTTTATAATTGTGTAAAATTACTAAATAATTTTTAGTATATTTTCTTTTTTTTGTATTATATTCATATTTTATTTATATGAAATATTCTAAAAATATTCAACAATATATATCATTTTTTTTATAATGGTATATCTTTTTTTATTTTTAGAGAAAATTTAGCTAATGATACATATTTGTTATCACAAATGGATAATGATCAATATGTACCAATATGGACAGTAGCAAATTTCAACCAAGTAAAAAAATTAACAAAAGATATAAAGCTTATAACGGAGGTTTTAAGAGAATCTCCAAATGTACAAGTTGATGAAGAAGGGCAGAAAGTAAGACCTAATCACAAGCGATGCATTGTGATTCTTCGTGAAATACCAGACAGTACGCCATTAGAAGATGTAAAGGTAAAAAAATTTTTCATTTTTTTTTTTTTTTTAAATCAAATATTGTTATAACAGTAACAATACGTTTATCTAAAAAATAATAATTTACTGTTCTATTTATGATGCTAATCCTAGATTATTAATAAAATAATATTTTTATTTATAGAATTTATTCTCTGGAGAAGGATGTCCAAGGTTTATTTCATGTGAATTTGCCCATAATAGTTCTTGGTATGTAACTTTTGAATCTGATGAAGATGCTCAAAAGGCCTATAGGTTTTTACGAGAAGAAGTTCGGGAATTTCAGGTAATATTCATTTAAAAAAGTAATTCATTTTTTATGTAATAAAAATTATAAAAACGCTAAAACACTATTAGTTAATTGATATAAAATTATATTCATTATTTGTGTCTATATATTTTCATTTTGTTTTAATAAAATTAGTATATATTTACATGGTTAATATTTAAATCAAATTAAAAAGGAGTATTTACAAAAACTTATTTTATTTTGTAGCAATTAATAATTATAATTGTTTATGAACAAAATATAAGTATAAATTATATACAGATTTATTTTATTTTATAATATTGAAACTTAATATTTATTATGTATAATTTAGGGAAAGCCAATAATGGCTAGAATCAAAGCTAAACCAATGAATAGGCTACCAATCCCTGCAGTTGCCAGTGTGGGTGGTATTAAAAATGGTTATAGAACACCACCACCACCTGTTTATGATCCAAATAGTTATACAGCTGGGCAGCAACGCTTCCTTTATACAAATGGTACTACTATGCCACAAACTACCATGCCGCCATATGCCAATCAGGTTCATGTATATGTAAGTAATGATCATGTATATGTAAATATTAAATAAAAAAATTTAAATTATATAATTAGATAATTTATTTACACTTTCAATGTGCTTTTATTTATATGTTAGTTTGATATCTAATATTTACGTATTAAGTATTTAAATATTTCGAATGATATCATGTATTTATGATTTAAAAAATTTTATATATTTTTTACAGCATCAACCATTTTATCCTCCTGGAATGATGCCTTGGGGACCTGCAAGTCCCGCTTATTTCGATATGTCAGGTGTTTTCATGAATGGTATTACACCACATAACACGTTTAAACCACATAACACAAGATACACTCCTCGTTACAGGTATTGAAATTAATAATTATTTTTAACAACGTAAAAATATGTATTATTTGTTTTACTAAGAAAGTAAATAATAATAAAAATAATTTTTCTGTAAGCAGTATTTAGAAAAATTTATATATTTGTTTCAATATATACATATATGTGATACAGAAATAAGCAAAGAAATGGATCTGAAAGACCAGGCTTGATGGATGGCGGAGGTAATATGGTGCCAATGGGACGTACTTCACATCCGCCTATGAGTGGGGCACCAATATCTTTAGGAGCAACAGTTCCAACTTTTACTTCGAGCTTACCTACGGTGAAGCCAACTTCTTCTTCCTACCAAACCGGCACAAAGTTCCATTCCTCACATACAACTGCAGCGACTGGAGAGACCCATTATAACAGTAGTCATTCGAAAGGATCCCAAGAAAATGACGCTCAAACTCTGGACTCAGGAGTACAATACCCGCGTCACCGTATGCATCGTAGAACCAAAGACCAAGAGTCATTATCAAAGGCTAATAGTAGCCCCTTACCATCAATCAGAGAATCTACCCCGGCCAGTAATAATAACACACAATGCAACCGAGGGGTACAATTTGATTTGGAAGCTTCTGCTTTCCCTCCTCTTCCTGGCCTAGATGCTGATCTTGCAAAATCCCATAATGCTTCAGTAGAAACTGTTGGTACAGATTGTACGCAATCGCAAAATAGGCTTTCAGATGTAGTTAAAGGTACTGCAAAATTGAAAAGCGTCAAAGAAAAAGAACCTACAGGAATTTCACAATATCATCAACAACCGACAAGTAACAGCAGTAGGTCTGCAAGCCCAGGGTCAAGTGCTGGTGGTCATGCTGGTTCGCTAGAAGCTCCAACTGGTTCTGGCAATACATCAACTACTCCCGTTGCATCTACAAATGTCAGCTCTAATGCTTCTGCTAGCAACAATGACTCCACAGACATCGCTCTCAGCACCATCACCCTCACTCCCCCATCATCTCCTGATAAGTGAGTGTGCTTTCTTCTTATACATACATGCATACGTCGTACAACGTACAGATATAAACACACACATACATACGTAATTACATACGTACATAGAACATTTACATGCATGCATATATACGTATATGTATGTTATACATATAAAATACACATACGTATATATGCTTGCATATGTACATACATAATCTGTGTATGTGCATGTGTGTAATAGAATATATATTCTTCTCTTATTGTAAAAGCAAATAGTTGTTTAATTAAATTTCTAAATATTGCTTATTATAAATTATTGTTAAAGTTCTTTAATTGCTTTTAATGATACATTGCATATATTATATATGTATATATGTATAGATATACACACAAATATATACATACATATAAACATGCGCGCACATACACATATATCAGAATGACTTATATACAGGCAATCACATAGAGCCTGAAAAGATTGCTAAGCTGTGTTTGATAGTGTTGGCTGCATTATATGCGTGTTATGCTCTGTATGGTGGATGTGTATTAGTGAAAATTATATAGTCCACCTATTTTCATATCACCTATATAAAAAGGAAAGGGAAAGTAGCTCTGTTCATGGTAGTTTGTTACTTTCAGTTTGTTACTTTCAGTTATATTTTGTTAGTATAATACTGTAATAATGTTAAAGTTTATGCTTATTTACTAATTCATAAATAGAATGGATAAAAGTAGTAAATTAATTACTCTGACAAAATAAATAAGAATAATAAATACTAAAATATATATTTTATTTTTGGAAAATGATTTTACATTATATTAATAATAAGTAGTCCATGTATTATATTTTAATTTGTCAATAATTATTAATAAAAAATACCAAACATATTTTGCAATTATTGTATTTTATTTTTATGGATGTCTTATAAAACTTCTTTATTTCTTAACACAATTACAAAAATAATCATAGATAATTGTTCTCTTAATCTTTTCAAAAATAAATTTATTTTTAATGTTATTAACACATATCTACACATAAAAATTTTGAAATTATGTAAAAAAAATTTTTTTAATGTTATTAATATATATTTATACATAAAACTTTTTTTTAATGTTATTAATATATATTTATACATAAAACTTGAATTTATATAAAAAGTTTGTTTATTGTGCTATAATTTTCAAACTTTCCCTTTCTTAATTATGTTATACTCATACATAGAATAGTAAGGAACAGGTATATCTTTCCTGAATTTACCATTATTTTATTCTCTATGGTGGTTAATTTTGTAGAAGTGCTCAGTTGTTCCAATTTGCCATTTATTTTTATCATTACTACATCTTTTTTCCCCATCGAGTGATAAGTTGTTTAATATTGTTTGGAATGTCTTGCTAGTATGGTTCTTCCTTTGAAGAATAGATTTTTTAAATAAGAGCTGGTGCTCCACTTGATGAAACAGTAAATTTTAATTTTAAAGCATAAAATGCTCAAACTCGAGATATTCATTTGATACTAAATAGTCAGAAGTTTTATCATTCTTTTATAAAAAAAAATATTGCAATGCGTATGTATGCAACAATGTATGCAGTACTCTGTGGTAGCACAATTTATATTTCTTGCCTGTATTACTGCGGCAAATCAACAATACATATAAACTTATATTATTCAGGGTTCTTTAATACATAATAATTTGTTATTATTTTATTATTATTTTATTATTATTATTATTATTATTATTATTATTAT